TACTGGTGGACATGTAGACTGTGACACTTTACTGTGGAGCTAATCAGCCTACTCTGCAGTAAAGTGCACATGTATATGTACCCACTGCATAAAAAAAATACTTTCTCTTGCTAGTTTTAAAAGCATCTCCTATTAATTTCAGTGGGTGCCCCCTAGTTACAGTATTCTGGGACTTGGTGAATAACAGGTTCCTGGTCACTTTGTCCACACCCTTCATGACCTACCTGTACACAGTATTCAATATGTGGGCACACCATGGATTTACAGAAAGGCATGATGATGTTCTCCATTTTGTTTTTAATTCCTTTCTTAACGAGAATTCTCTGCTCAACATTTTATTGACTTTTTTGGTTACAGATGCACTTGACCTGATTTTTTTTTTTTTTTTTTTTTTTTTATATAAGAGAACTACCTACAGTTCTCTGTCCTGAGTCATAACAGCTAGCTCAGAAACAGAACGGGCTGTGTACAGTTGTGGTTATTTTTTTCCATGTGCATTACCTTGCACTTGTTGAAGCATCAGTTTCTCATGCGCGCTAATATTACACTTTCAGGAATGAGGCTTGCTTTCTCTATTATCATATTCACTTGCATGTTACACACACCTCTCCCCAAAACACGAGCCATCCAAAATTGGGGTGTGGCTGATTCTACACCAGAACAGACATGAGATCACTGTAGTGGTTGCTACTTCTCTCCCCTCTCTCCTTGTCAGCAGTACGGAGCAGGATGGAATTTGGTTTTCAGCATGGCAGCCACAGTTTGAATCATTTCACAGCCACTGCTAAATCGGTAGTAAATTTTGACTAAGCATGGCACCCTTAGAAGGATCTCAAGGCACCCCAGGGTCCCACTGCACCCTGGTTGAGAATCACTGCTCCCTACCCATAGCCAGTCTCCCTCTCTAAAAAACAGTATCCAAACTTGGTGTCAGACTTTACAGTATCCATCATCTAAAAATACAAATGCTAAAATCTAGTAAAATATCTTGCGAATTCACTTCTAAATACAGTGTTACAGTATACAATGTAAAATCATTCTGGACACCATACCAAATTATATATGTCTAAGTACTATTTTCTCCACCCCCTCCATTTACCAGAATAGTTCCACCCTGTAATAGCTAAACAAACAAAACAACTAAATATTGCAATATGTGCAGGAATTTCAATTTACAAATTTTCAACACAAAAGCACAAGTCTATTAACTGACCTAAAAAGCAGGTCTTTTTGTACAGACAACAGCCATAAGAAAATTCTGTACAAGATCTAACCACTGGGGGGCAACACAGAGGCACACTGTTATACAAGTAGAAAATGGCATGCTCCTCCTCCGAAGTGGTATAGCAACGGAGTAGACTTGGCTCCAGATTATTAGAGACTGGGATTCTTTTCCCAACTCTCCCCAAAGTTAGCCTGTACAAGTTGCCAATAATATTCTCTGTATAGCAAGTGAAAGATAGTTGCCAGTCTTAGAGCAAGGATCTGAGGCTCTGGTTAACAATATGAGTTGCAAAGGGCACACAAATATTGACAACAGATAGTAGAAAAGTTAGAGCTAGAATACCTCAATCCTTGAACTGCAACTCAGTGCATGCCCCTCTCAAATACCAGACAGCATATGAGGAAGGCAGTATTTTTCTCTCTCTCATTTTGTTTCTTCCAAATCATATAAAGATTTGTATACATTTATTTTGTATACATTTCTTCTGAATTTCACCTACTACCATTTATGGGAAAAGTAGGTGGGCAAAATAGCCATAATAGGATAACTTAAACAAAGCAGTAAACTAATTTTTAGAAATGGTTTTAGATCAAATGCTTTACTGACATGACCAATAATAGCTTTAGTAAAAAAAAAAAAAAAAAACCACAAAAACACACAGGGCATTGGCTCTACTTATTAGTGAGACAAAAGTCAAGGAGAAAAATCCTGGTTCCACTCATGTAAATTAATGACCCACTAACTTTGATGGTTCCAGGATTTTAACTCAAACAGATATGCAAACCGATGACATGAAAGAAACCTAGAAATATACTTTTAGTTGTATGTAACAGAAATCACTGTGTTTCCACAGTGTTTTAAACACTCTTACTTTAATACTATATGCTTTTTACCTCGGAGGCAATTTTTATAACTCGATTTGAAAAGTTAGAGTTCATTTTAATTGGTAATGAAACAACAAGCATGATCTTAGCAGCTCTTATATTTCCATAAAACAAGTGAACCACATTTCAGCTTTAGATGAAATATTCTCCTTGGCCCCACCTGACAAGCTATGTAACATTTAGATTTGTTTGTTAGTTGAAGACAGGATTTTATTTTAATAATAAAGGACTACCATTATTTTTTAATCTTTCCAACTTAATTTTAAATCATGAACATGACAAAATAGAGACTAAATCTTTAATATTAAATTAATGATGTTTCTTATGTAAACCCCCTAAAAGCAGAAGAAATTATTTCAAACTCATGCATTTACATTGTTTGCATTTTAATTAGATCAATGGATATAATTCAGTGTTAAAATTATTCATACTCTCTAGAAACTAAAAATGAGTTCTTGTTAAAGTGTAAAATGAGATTTCTGAAGGCTTGTATGTGCCTTGTTTCTCACAGTTAAACTGTCACAGCATGAAAACATTCCCCTACTTGTAGAGCTTTAGATACCTATCTCCCTAGTGAAAGTGTGCAAAACAAAATTAAAGAGTTAGTGACAATTCATACAGTATCCCATATTTCGTTAGATAAAACTACACACAGAGAATATATTTTAACTCTAAAGGGAGATGAGGCAACAATGTTTTAAATGACTATTGACTTCACTGAATTTCCTAATAATGTAAGAAGACTGAAGTCTATCAGGTTCATAAGAGACTCAAGATGATATAGGAATCCAATTATGGGAAGTCTATTTAGTTGTCCTGTTTGCTAAGCCAAAGGTTAACGAGAACTGCACTGAAAAAACCTCCTGTGGTATTACAAAGTATTTCTTATGCTGCATAAAATGTAAATGAAAAAGTATTCTAATCAAGGCCTCCTTTAACTCTTTAATTGTGAATTAGTAGCATACTCTTATACAACACAGCACACTGAGAACTCTATACAACACAATCAAAAGTGATTAGGAAAAATCTGCCAGTGAATTAAAAAGGGCTACTTAAACAGATAAACCTCATTACTAAATATTTATAACAGGCAAAGGGAAAAATGTTGAGAGTTCTTGCTAAAGTTAAATCTTCATAAGTATTAAGTTATATGGCCTCTAATTTCAGATAGAAATTAATTATATTTTTGCTGGTAACACATTCAGATCTGTTTACACAGCTGACATGTCTCAGCTGCACCAGATTCAAGCAGTGGGCTTTGAGGAGCCTCCTGCCTTGGAGCAGATGACTCAACATTCACCAATTTCATTAAACATGAAAAGGGAAAAAAAATTACCTGCAACAATGTCACTTGTAAAAACAGACTTAAAACAGATTTATGAGTTTTACACACCCAGGACATCCTATCCACAGAAAGGTTTTCTTTTCATTTATTTAGCTTTTGTTAACGTCTCTTAAGACCTAGATTAGACATCTTACATTTCTACCCTTTTGGGTTTTTTTACTGAATTTAAACTAGTAACTAAAATTCACCCCTTTGTAAAAGACTGTAACTGCTATGAAACTGTATTTATTAGATCAAACGTCATATCTATAGTCTCAAGTCTGCTCAATATATGGGCATAGATCCCTGCAGCTGAGTAAAAATTAACTGCTGTGCTTAAAAGCAAAAGCATAGGGATATTCACAATTATTTCAGATGTTCAGTCAGTCTTTGCTTTGCTTCATTAGCTTAAATCATTCATCCAACATTTAAGAAATGTAGTACTCATCGCTTCAACAAGTTGTTACTTTAGGAGGACTGGAGATTGGCAGTTCTATCTTCAAAGTATTATTATTCTAATATTTGTAGAAAGGAAACACTAGTTACATTTTCATTTAATAGAATGGTCATATTTACTTGGCTTCAACTCAACACTTAGAAAAGTAGCTTTTTTTCTTTTTGTGCTAAGATTGGTAACTATCACAAAAGCTATATGCATATTTTTTTTTAATAAATGCAGACCTCATTTGCCAGTATTAGCTGTGTTACCTCAGAAAAGATGGAAACTGCCTGAGCAAAAATGAAAGTGAGGATCTCTGCAGAGAGCAATCACACAATCAGGAGGCAGGATGTAATGTCTAAACAACCTTCTACAGTGGTTTGCAGGATTTCACAAAACAGTGGGCAAACATAGAATAAACTCATTGAGTGAGAGCATCCAATATATCCGCCTGAAATAGGAAATTAATACTGTCCTCTGGGTTTTTTTAATATTGGTAATTTTAAAATGTTCACCTGGCATATAAAAACTTAAGTAATGTCTTCTATATTCTGGTCAGCTACACGTTTATCTGTATTCTGTACAAAGAGATGTCATACGTCAGAGTGTAAACTTGTACAGCACAGTTCTGGTTCGCTGAAAAAAGGAATGCAAGTGTGTGAGCATTTCTGTTAACTTCAGCAGAAAGACTTGCACACTTGATATCACATACCCGTAAGTACCTGGGTGAACTGGGGCCTTAGGCCCGATTCGGCAACATATTTATGCACATGCTTACAGTACTGCTGGAAAACAAATGCTTTCCTCTAATCTGTGCCAAGATGTATACCAGTATAAGAAATTCCACTGCATCCTTCAGTGTTGGGCCCTCTAACTCTCATATGGCAATACACTGAGGCACACACTACATACATGTGAAGACTTTCAGTGGGACTACTTACATGTTTCAGTGCATCCATAAAATTGGGGCTTGGTTGCTCAACACACAAAATAAGGCCCTAAATAACGTGCAACTTCCATACTTTCTAGGGAAAAGGTGATAACAATTTTTTAATTCACACAATAAAAAACCCCAAGGACAATTGAGCATTTACTGGAAGAGCCAAACAAAGATACAAAACTACTTACAGAGTCATCCGTCGCAGAAGGAGGCCAGCCTTCCCACAACTGGTGACGAACAGGAATACTAGTTAGGTCATACACGTTCCGCTTTACCTGTCAAAAGAAATTAGACATGCTTTCAAAATACACCTAGCATTTCAAACACGACTAAATTACTTGCAACATGAAGGATGGAAGGCTTTTTTAATTTTGATTTTTTTTTTAAAAGATTAATAGCAGCAAAGCTTCCTTCTACATTCAAAAGCTCAGATTTGCTCCAGAAGGTAACATACGATGGCTGAATACACAGTAAACAGAAATCTAAAACAATCAAACTGCATTAAATCCTTAACAAAGAAAACATACATTATGATTTGTTATTATTACATAGAACGATAACTGTTCATGACATATTATAAAATAAAGACATTACAAGAACAAATTGGAGGGAGAGAAAACAGAACAACAGCAAGATCATTTCTGTTACAACTGCTACTGGTTAATCTGCTGTTTTCATCCTAAAAATCCTAGATTTATGGCAAATTTAAGCAGGAGTCAAATATAGCTTGCTGTTGTATACATTTCTGTATTGTGCATTTTAAGGGAGGGGTATCTAAATAAAAATGAAAGTATCAGGAAAGGAAACAAATACAGTTGAACAATAATATTTTCAATTATTTCTTTAAATAGCCAACCATATGTTAAGCAAGTTTACTTTGTTATTACTATTTACTGAAATACTACGGTTGAATTAATGAGCTTAAGAGCCATAGTGGTTGTCAATATGGCAGAAGAACGGAATCTAAAAACAAGCAGGATACCACCAAATGGCAGTTTACAACCGCTCACCCTAAAATTTTAACAAAAATCTAACAATTTGACATTCAGCTTGACCCATTCAAAGCCACATGATCCCTGTCCATCAGTTTTGATGAGCGCTTATGTAAAAGAAAACAAAAATCATGAATTATTTTTGTATTAAAACAGATTTCACAAAATCAGAAGGATATCATTGCTGCATTTGAGTAGTTTCAGCTAGTCTCACAGAGTCAGTGCCAGAGTTTATTCAGAGGCCTCTTATGGATGAACCCGTACAAAGACAGCCAGTGCACAAGCATATGCCAACACTGGCCCTTCCAATGAATCACGTGAACAGGTAGAGTACCTGCAGCAGAAAACTGCACAGCAAGTTGACAGTACTGTGGCTGAGAGACCACCTAAGAAACAGTTTCTCAAGGTCTAACAGAAAATCTTCTTAAAATCTTGAAGTCATCAATTTCTTATTTGTTGCAACATGTACCAAGATCGAGGGATTATAAAGGCCTTACTCACAAAACCTGTTTTTAAAAAGGTTTTCTAACACTGTGAATTAAATACACCACTTTTGTTTGTTTCTTAGTAAAAGAAAAAGAAAAAAAAGGAGGGGGGAAAAAAATCTACCACCTGCAACTATAAGATCTCTCATTACTCCCAAATGAGTTATCAGCAGGGTTTGATTTCTAAATCTTCAGTTCCCAAGCACAGACCGGTACTATTCACCTTACAGAGTAAATTCCATCTAGTTCAACTCCTAGCGGGTTTAACAGAGATATACTAACTAAAGTACATTCATCTGGTATATCCAATTTGGAGGGCAGCATAACATTTGTGTTTACCATAGACTGAAGACCTAGATTCTACCCCAAAATTTGGCTGATAATGCCATGGATAATCTCTCCATTGTTTTGCTTATAAAATGGCAGGAGCTAATGCTTAATTGTCTTATAAAGCTGTGGTAAGAAGCTTTGATCAACAAAGTCTGAAGTGCATGAAAATATAAGTAGACAAAAAAGAAAAATCTTTGAACTAATTTCTATCTCATAGGTTATTACACTTCCCCTAGAAAGACAGTATTCTCTCACAAAACAGTACTTGTGAGATGCAACGGAAGGGAAGGCAAGATTCAGCCACAAATTCAAAATATCAGGCAAAATCCATTAGACTCAAGAGGCTGTTGAGTCATAAAATGGTCAAACACTGTGTCTCAACCTACCATTCTAAAAGAAATAAATATGATCCGTTTTAGTACAATGCAACCAAATAAAACAATTCTAACTATTCAGTTATTTTACATTTCAACTTTATATCCCCTACCTTACCTGCATTATGAAGGCTGAGATGTATTGCAAACTGATAGCAGCCTTTTTTTAACGGATGAAGAATAAAGACTATTTTCAATATCAACATTACAGCCCTTATATTACTTAGTATAGAATGATCCAACTTGTTAAGTCTGTTAGCTTTTCTATTTTAAATTCATTTTAAAGCATCTCCTTAAAAAGCAATGTTCAGCATCTGCCCTCCTTTTGTCCAGGATCATCTTAACAGAACACCGCACAGACTCATCAAATTGTCCATGTAGTTAAAGCTCTTTGATAGCTACATTTGCAGAAATTAGATGGTAATTAGCAAAGTTATTAACAAAGTATGTACCTAACTGCTATGATCATAGATATGTAGAGAGAGAAAAAAATATATATATACACATCAATCTTTGAAAGGCTCCCCATGGCACTACTGTGCCAACTCTGCACACCATGGCAGGCCTGCTACAAGCAGTGGCAGGGGTAATAGTGGCCCCAGAAGCACAGAGATACTTTTTATATTGACTAGTAATACCTGTGTTGCATAACAGATTACTTCTGATTGTATGAAAATACATGGCAAGTCATTTTGAAGAGGTGGGGGGGGTGCGTGTTCATGGGTCACACACACACACACACACACCTATTTTATAAACTCCCAATATACACCTTGGAAAGAAGTGATATGTGAAAGCTCTGGAACGCAGTTTCAAACAAACAGCTTTTCTTCAGTCCTCCTTAACAAGAGTTTAGCCTGCTGTGCAGCAATTGTTTCACAGTCACATCAGGGTGAAAAAATGGCATTACTCAATATTGACCTCACAACATCTCATCAAAATGTTACCAGGCTAATCTGTGATCATAAAAACAATTTGCTGGTTCTTGCCATGCTAATATTACATTATGAAATGTTTTGAGCATTTTTCTTTCCCAAGAAAAATAGCCTTCAATTACACATAGAAAAAGAAATCTTGTTGAATATTAGTCCCACAATATGGAAGTGTTTAAAATGAACTATTAACTATTTTGTAATCCCAAACTAATTGTACGTGGTCACACATGATCAATAAAACGACATAACATTATTTTAAGAGGGGAAAAAAAACCTTCTCAGAATGTGAAAATAAACAGCTCTGGAGTTGGATTCCTTGCATTCCATTTTAATGCCAAAGTACAACAGCATGGCATTATGAAATAAACAGTATTTTCCTTCTTTCATTAACTCATCTGTAACTGCACTGATTTCAATAACATTCCTCTGCTATTCTAAGCCTGAAAGGCATGCTCTGGTTATAGTGTTATGTTGGTATAAAGCACAATGCCAGACTGATGTGCTGAACAAAAGTGATCAAAGTTAAAGTAATTTTAGCCAACGCACAAGTATTCTGCTGCATTATTCTACCAGAATGACATCTGTTGAGCAACTCGTCACAGAATAAACTAGTTATTATAGACAGGCCATGTCTGGTAGGGTACCAAGTAAAACATTTTAGGGTAATGTTTGATTAAACAAACTACTGGGGCTAAACTCATAACTGGATTTTGAAAACTTGCCAAAACAGTCGTATTTCAAAACACAATCAATTATTTAAAGGAAAAATACATTTGCTTTTCAAATACTGTGCCACTCTCATCAATGCCATAATTTGGAGGAACTGCCCTTATTTGATAATTAAAATAGTGATAAAGAAGGAAAACACAGAAGATGCAAAGAATAGATATACTTCCTGATAACATATAAAAACTCCCTCATCCTCATTAGCTGTCTGAATGCCAGTTTAAAGCTATGGTTTGTAGGGAGGAGTAAGATCTACAAATACATACACAACAACATTTTAAAATATTTTTAAAAACAGGCCAGTGGAATGAAAATGTACATCGGCACTCTTGAATACGTTCACACAAAAAATAGATATTGGACCCATAATATCTTCAAGACAGAGATGAGGAGATGAGGATGGATTTTTGTGCTTAAGTTCAAATGCCACGAATAGCAGGAGTGAAATCCTTATAAACTTGCTTATGAAAGCGTCTCTAACTTCTAGCACCATTTCACAGCACTACATTTTTGAGAGATGATTGGTCACATAACCTCTTCTCTGATCAATACAAAAGAATAATTGACAGTACTGTCTTACGCACAGCTCCAAATCTGTATTTTTCCTTGATGTCAAACTGCTACGGTGACCTGCATATATTACAGAATGTAGTTACCATCCAAATTATAATCTCTCCATTTTATGATTTAGAACCAAATTATTATGTAAATGCTTTTATTTGGTTCTGAGATGCAAGTTTTAGCCATTTTGGTCTACAGGCAAAAAGAATCAAAACTCATGGCAGAGGTGATATCTTTTATTAGACCAACTGGATATTTGCAAAACAATTACTTTAATTGCAAGCTTTTGGGCACACACACACTTCCTCTGGCATAAGAGAATGCAAAGACTGTAAAATTTCTTCTAGCTGGAAAAAAAAAATTCATATTTCACAGGAAAGCTGAAGATGTTGTAAGATCTCCTGGTTGGAATACAACACCAAATGACATACAACACCTTTACTCTGCCCTTTTCTGTACACGCAGCCCAGTGCTGGGGAAGCACGTGAGCCTTACTCAACAGCTCATCTTCATCTGGAGGTAACAAAGGAAGAAAGAGAGATAAAACATGTTGATAATGAAGTAGAAAAAAAATAATCTAGCTTCAGGAAAGCAGAAAACTAAAGTCTGTAACAAGATTTAGGCAGGTTTGTATTTTATTTTATAATATGGTCAAATAAACTCAAAGGCTCTGCAGCAGGTAACGTGATGTGAAAGGGTGTGGTGAAGATCTTCTGTACTCTGGTGAATTTCACCCAGAAGGAAAAAGGAGTTATTTTCTTAGCTTTTAATTAGAAAATTAAAACTATTATTGAGAAATGTCTCATTCACCAAATGTTAAAAAGTAAAATATTACAGCTGAATCAGCAAAATTTGATCACACCTGAGACTGT